TTAATAATTTTAATAATAAAAAATAAAAATATTTTAAAAAATATACTTATTTGTTTTTAAACATGTCCTTATTAGTCATTTAATGTTAAATAACATCCGCTAACCATTATATAGTCAAATAGTTATATTTATCGAATCTGCTATTTATCATCCGCTACCCATTTTTCGCTATCCGCCATCCGCTATCCACTAATCGTCACCTGCTACTCGCTACCCACTACTTGCTACCGCTATCCGTTATCCGCTACCTACTATTCGCTATCTGCTGAATTTTAATCACTGTATCAAACAGGCCATTAATTTGCTTTCCCTCCAAAAAAAAAAAAGAAAAAAAGAAAAAAAGAAAAAACACCTCACAGGAAATAACGTACAAGAAAAAAAAGAATTAATTAAATACTAACCTTTCCACAATTAAGGTTAGGAGGTTGATTGGACGTAAGATTATTGTAGTACGATTCAGGAAAACTGCTCCTAAACCCTATTTTATATCAACAAAAAATATTTTTTAAAAATTTAAATTAAAAGAATAATTAAATAGCAAAGGTAGAGATAATTAGACAAATTTTATATGTTGATTTAAGTGATAAACGAGTGATACCTAACCTCGCATTCTACTTTTATAGTATAAATGATTTTAAAATGTTATAAATTTAGTTGATTATTTTTTTTTTATTTCCTCTATTTTTCTCAACCTCAACATACAATCCAAACATTCTATTAGTGAGAAATAAGTTGCATAGAGCCTATAATTTACAACTAATCGTGAAATTAGCATAACATAAATGTTTGAATACTTTTATAATCTCATGCCATGATATAACCATAGGGGTCCTCATGAAATTTCATATTTTTGTAAAGGTTAGAGGTATTATTTTCGTAGGAGATTTAATTGGGCTGATTGGATTCACTAAACCTAAATAATTAATAGTTGATAATTATTGTATTTATAATTTAAAATATCTAATTCATTGGATTAGAGTAAATAACTTATAATTGTTTGTAAAAAGTTAAAACAAACACCTTTATAAGTCTAGTAGTTTACAATTTAAATTATATTAATTATTAAATTATAAAATATCAATTATTAGATAGATAATTCACAATATTAAAAAACTTTTTTTTAATTTAATAATTTATAATTTATAATTTAATATGCTTAACTGCAAGATACTTTTATATATAAAGGCTTAACTTAATAACTTTATTTTAATAGTTGGTACTTACAGTTTTCATCACTGAGCTACTCCCTGCCGCACTCATTTACGTAGGAGAAAATCCGGGGTTTTATTTTTATTTTTATTTTTTTTAAGTCTCGAAGCCATGCATATATAGTGTTTAAGAATTATGTGTGGGACCCACCTTGGATTTTGTTTTGGTAAATCAGTCCGTGCAAATTTTTTAAATAAAAAATCCAATTAAAAATAAAGAATTTTTATTTTGTATCTTTAAAATACATGTCAAGAATGTAATTATTATATTTTTTATACGAATTATGTGTGGGACCCACCTTGGATTTTGT